ATATTTCGATGACTGGAAATAGAATTTGATTAGTGTATAAAAAGTATATAAGTGAGATAGTCCTAGATAAATGTGTAAGAAAGTTTTTGTTCCAATTATATTATAAAAAGTTTAAAGCTCTCAGTGTGTATGTAATTCTCACGTGAAAACGTCAAAAATTAAGGAATACCATTTCAAGGACATTTTAACTTTAAACTAATTATTTTGATGTGCAAAAAGTCTCAAGAATCTTACACGAATAATTAGGAATACATTAAAAATATAATCGATGATGTGAAAAGTAAGAAATTTAAAGTTTATCTTTCTCTATAGATATAAATTACCTTACCTCTTTCCCTTTAAAACACATTTTTCTTTCCTGTTTGAATGGGAAGGATTTTAAAGAATAGGTAGCATTGAATGTAAATAATGTCGATTGATTACTTTTTCCTTGAAAATTAATAACTTTAAAAATCGACAGTTTAAAAAACACTTAACTATATATAATGCTCCAATTACTATGTATATCACCAGCTTAATTTATCTTCCATAATTTTCCTCATGCATAGTTTTTTTTATTCTCAAAATAAATTTCACTCAACTTTTTCTTACAAGGTTTTGAAATAATGCTGTCCATGAAAAAGCAATCTTTCCTTTTTGCACGGCCGATTTGCTTTATCGTGATTTAAAATCGTAGAGATTGTTTTGAGAAATGAAGACAAAACTCATCAATTAACTGTTGGTTGAATTTGTGAGTGTCTTCCTGGAGAAAGTGTGGAAAACAATTTTTTAAACGTTAATCCAAACGTAGTGTGCGTTCTAAAATCTTATTGAAATGTGCAGCTTGTCTTAACTGGGTAGAGCAAGAATTAAACAAAGAGCTTGAAAAACCGAAAGGGCAAAATACATTAAGACTCTTCTGATAAAAAAAAAGTCAACACATTAAAACGTTTTGGGAAGCAACTAATCTACTCAAAATGTTATAAACAGGAGAAAATATTTATTGGAAAATTATTATGAAGGATGTGGATGGCCTTTCTTGTGAACGGACAGTCTTTTTGTTTCAGCTTACCGTGAGCAAATGTCTTTATTAACAAGTTATGAATAATTAAATTTTATTCGTAGTGTTCTTTTACTTAAAGTTTTCAACTTTTTCTTAAGGTGATATATATTCGTTCATAATTATATTTTAGTTAGTATTTAAAACGTGAATTAATTTAAAATTAAAGTTAAATACATAAATGAGATGTAGAGTTAAATACATAAATGTAAATAAACATGCCTAAAACTTATACTAGATTTTTCGTCTTGCTGAAGAGTGAACTTGAATGACACGTCACGTTCGGGAATGTAACGCTCATTTGGCTTTTTTCGTCTCTTTCGTCGGAAATCGTGTTTGGACAGCGTCGGTCAAGATTCAATAGTCCGCGACATACACACCCCTAAAAAGAAATCACGTGACCAAAGGTGGGATGTTTTCTCCTTGTTTTGAGTAATACTCAGCCTTCCCTTTTGGGTGCTTATATAGTTAGTTTTTTGTTTCCCAAAAGATAAACAGTTGATAAAAACTTCGAAAAACACAATTCTTAGGGAATTTAAAAATAAATCAGATGATATTTATGTAGAAAAGTATCAAGTTTAATGTACATAGTGGTTATTGGATGCATAATATAAAATCCCAATGTTCCGATTGCAAATATATATTTGTTGTAGATAAAAAAAATTTCAATTCAGAAAATATCTAAGAGACAAAATATTTGAGTCTTAAAAATGCCCACAGATATTGTTATGAAAATAATTTCAACGCAACATTTTACTTTTAATTTGTTAATATCGAAAAGATTCGAGTCAAAATATCTTAAAGTTGATTGCCAATCATCTTTTGCATAACAGAAGCATATCTGGAATTATATGAATTGTGAAATGTCTTGCATTCGTTTCATTCATCTTTTGTAAACTGTAACACACCTGCATTTCCATATATTTTTTTTAAAAAAATATTCATTACATTCGGGAATATATGCTTAAATAATTATTCAAAATAGCGCAGTGAAGAAATTTTAACGGAGAAGGATAATCGAAAAATGAAATTTAAGGCCAATTAAATTAATGTTTACTTTTTATATTTCCCTGTTTTATTTATTTAAATATTCAATTATTGATTCGTATTTTATTTAATGTACATCCCTATAATTTATTTTTTATGCTATATAGAGAATGGATGTAGCATCAAACAGTACAGAATCATTTGTGAGTTTAATCAGTCATGTATCGGAGAAATTTATGCAGCGCAATTTAGAGCAAAAAATGGACAAATAATTCTAATAGTTGCTATATTTATATTTCATTAAATCAAAAAGGTAGAGAAAATTATCGCATTCATTCACAAAAATTTAGTTGCCTACACTGAAGCCAGATCGGCTCTCTGAGCAAATTAGCTATGATTTTAAGTGGGGATTTTAATGTAGATTTTTCAAAGGGGACAAATAAAAAAGTTTTCTTTTTAAAATCCAAAATTCAATTTAATTATGTCAAATGATCCAAGTGAAAGCATGACGATGTATGGAAAAATGCTTGGTGGAGTTTTTTTTTACATATTTAATTTTGAATTTATAAAGTATTTACAAACTATTTCAGCTACATAAACCCATTGTTTCTTTTTTAGAATACAATTCACAAATATGACTGCATATTTTGCAAAAAAATATTACTTTATGATTACAGACATATGAATAAATAATTTTATGTGACAATACTAATATCCCCTTGTTTTTTATTCACCGAACTAATACCTGAAATAATATTACAAAATTTGACGTTTTCATTTCTATCTGTGGTCATGAGCAGACACATTTTTTTGTATGTGTGTGGTTTTTCAATAAATAAAATTTTCTTTCATCTTACAATTTTTGGTAACGCATCCCCCTTTTTAGAATATTATTTTTTATACCTTTTTTCCCCCGAGGAAAGTATATCATCTTCAAAAAGAGGTGAACTCAAATTTCTCAAATATTGAATAGTTGAAATTTGTCTATTTTATTCACATTATTGTTTTATGTTTAACTACGAATCCACTGTAGATGTTATTAAATTTTATAAATTTCAGGCACTATGCGATGATATTCACGATGCTCTTAAAAGAAAAATCAATCATTGACGTAATGATTGATTTAGTTTAAATAAATATTGTAACATGACTTTAAAAGTACTGAACCGTAAAGGGGGAAAATCCGTCCTTCTCAAAAGGAAATTTTTCATCCGTGTTATGCATCCGTGTTAAAGGCTATGATAGAAGTTATAGAATAAAATTATATAAAAAAAATTTATAAGCAAAATGCTAATTTCTGCAATCACAGCAAAATAATCACTTTAGGCTTTAATAACAAATTTGAGTTTTGAATGGTTTAATACATCTTTAATGAATTAAAAAGGGAAAATATTAGCAGTTTTTTTATTTTACATTTTAACATATTTTAATTATATTAGAGTAGGAATGAGATAAAGAAAATGAATGAGGGTAAAGCTCACAATCAAATATTGAAATAGTTTTTATAATATATTTTACAAAAAAAAAAAAAAAAAAAAATGGATATTTTCTTTTTTTTTTTATAAGTAGGACTTAAATTTTAAGCCATCATTGTAAAAAAACTCTTTGAAATTTAAATTTTGGGTTTCTATTTCAGAAAGTTGGTTGTTCTTGTGTAATTTAATAGATTATTTTTTTATAAGGGTACCGATTTAGCGATTTTATTTCAGCTTTTTACACGTCTATTTGCATTCATTTTTTTTGTTTTCAAAATGATTTTACATTAATCAAGCAGACGTCATTCATAATCTGTGCAGAAAGATATCGACTATAAATTTCTTTATTCTAATTCACTATCAGATGATCCATTTTATTTTAATCTAAGATCTTGGGCTATACGAGTGCTATTGGCAACGAACTTTATATTTTTGAATTTTCGTTAAGTCATGAGGTAACTCCTAAAATGCGTGTGTGGCACCTTATTCTCCTAATTTCTACATAACACTAGGCCAGGAATAATTTGCAGTAGGCTAATTGATTAAAATACATGACTGGCATTTATTTCGTTCATTGGATAAGTAATTCACTACATGGCTTAAATTCACTATCAAAACTCTGTATGCGTAGTAAAAACTTTAGGTGTTCTGGTAGAAAGCATTTGCAATTTTGTATCCAATTTATCAAGATTAATTTTTTTTTCAAAATAATAATAAGAAGTACATCTAAGCTTCTGTGCTTTAAAATCTGTTTACTGGATACTAAGATATATTGGAAAGCTGTCAAATATAGTTACTTAAGATCACAAAACTTCGATTTAAAATCAACGCTTGGTTTTCATTTCCCTATTTAAAAAAGTAATGAATTTAAGTATTGTGTGTGTGTGAAACAAAAGAGTAACGTTACTTTTAATTCCGATTTGCATTGATTCCAAAACTCAACCTTTTATAAATATTTGGAATTAAAGGCAATTGTTCAGTAATTAGTTTTAAAATATTTAAAAATATAACTTTAAGTTGGTATATTTATATACATTTCTCTATTTTAATATATTCCGATAACTAGGTCAGTTACATTTTCAAGTAATAGAATTTCGGTGTATAGAATAAAATGTAAAAAAGTTATTTGCTAAAGAGTTATTTGTTAATTATTTACTATATTTAGATACTTTTTTAAATTCCTACTATTAGTTCACTCTTTCCCGTGAGATATATAAATATATATTTATTTATATTTGTTCAAATATTGAATGGATGAATAAAAAGTATTTCATTAACGTAACGTAAAAAACTGTAGTAACATCAAGTGGATGACACTTGATGTTACTACAGTTTTTTAAATATTAATTCATTAACTCTCTTGCTGCGTAGTGGTATGTCTGCTACGTGTACTTTGCCTGTGGGATGCGCCGCGAGAGAGTTAATTAAATTAAAAACGAATAAATAGTAACAAAAATAATAGTCCAATACCATATATAGGAAGGAAAATCGTTTGTTGTGTCCCTGTAGCATAATTGATTGCGCGTTGGACTTCTAATTCAAAGGTCATGGGTTCGAATCCTACCTGGGATGGCCTAATTTCTAAGAATGTGATTTCTTTTTTACTATACTATTTTATTGGAATAATTAAATTTAATGAATAAATAGTAACAAACAAAAATAATAGTCTAACACGTTATATAGAAAGGAAAATGGAAAATCGCTCTTCACAATATTTTGCCACTTAATATTGTGATTCTGTTTGTGTATGTATATATTTATATTAATTGTGTAATTATTTAATAAGAAGTAACTAAAAAAATTTATTTGTTGATCTAAGTAGAATTGATTTTTTTTTTTTGTATTACTTGTTTTAAATTAAGTTCCACCCAAAGGAGATTTTCATGTTAAGCAATTTTTATGCATGTTTTCATAGAAAGAATACAAATAAATTTTCGTATGTATTTGTTGAAATGACTAATATAATTACATTCAAAGCCCTTAAATTTAGTTATTATATATAACGAAATGTTGAATATTCACTTTTTTAAATGCGTATAGTTTTAGACCATTTTTTTTAAAAAAAAGAGAAAATGTATGCTAAGAAAAGTTGTTCGGATGCAATCACATTTATCTTTTTTGAAAGATAGCTAATGATAATTATCAGTGGATACAATCAGATTTATTGCAAGAATAAGAGCAATATTTATTGACCGTTATTCACTTCAGTTTATTGAGTTCAACAAATCGTAAGTGAATTCCTTATTTAGTTCAAATCTTTAGGCTCTTCTCTGGTAAAAAATCTGATAAAAGATATTGATCGAGTATTCAAACTGGCAATGATTTGAAAAATTACATTTGTAGGCAGGCTACAAGCGAATTAAACTCTGATATTTTCTGTAACGGTGAATATTACCAAATGAGGTTTGATAAGAGAATTTATTTTTACCCTCTTAAACAGGTTAAAGGTGTTTCACCTCAAGTTTCTCTCCCATTGCATCCGAATCTTGAACTTGGAAGTGAAATCTGGGTTAAATGGCACTAATTGGAACATAGCATACCTCATTGGGCCGAGGAAGATTTCGCTTTTAGGCAATGAATTGTTTAATTAACTACATTGTAGTAGAGATAAGGAATTCGCAAAAGAGGGCAAGAGAGGAAAAAAATGCTAAGATTTATTATTGGTATGAGTTACTTTTTATAGAATTGGGAAGAATTCTATATGTCTATTAGGATCATTAAGGACAGTTTAGATAGCTCAAGTTAAACTTTTGGATTCGACTACCATGCAGATCCTTTTAAATTGCAAGAGAATTTCTTCAAGTAATATATTAAAAGGCAGAATAAATGCAGCAGAACAATATAAATACATCAGAAGGCAATTAAATGAATAAGCTAAGGAATTTTTTATATGATGTCCTTTATTTAAGATATATCAAGCGCGTATGCATTATAAATAAATTATCAGAGGCATTAACTTATATAAATCCAGAGTAATTTATCTTATTCAATACAGCTGAAGGAGAATAAATATTTATAGATCTTAGTTTTACAACCCCCCCCCCCCTTGAAATCAAAATTGAAGATCTTTTTATAGGACAACCATACTAAAGATGTAGAATAACGGGTTATAAAAACATAATTATGATAATATACCAAAAACAACATAACACAGTTTTACATTCACACAATTTACAATTAAAATATTAATGTCACGAAACATAGAATTAAAAATAATTTAGAAGCAACAAAATTACAAGACCTCAATTTTAATTGAAAATAATACAAAATATCTAACATATAAATTAAAACATAATACATTAAACATCACATAATACATTAATACATAAAACATTAAAACTTCAATAATTCGAAGCTGAAGGGACCAATGAAAACTCCGAATCATCAAGAGTTCGAATTACCAAGAGGGTAGGGTGAGTGAGTGAATATTAACGTCACACTGATTAGCAACACGAGGGCTTTTGGCGACGGTCAACGTAATTTTGAACTTTGGGTGACGCGGACGACACCCGAGCTGGCACCCCCTCTCCTAACTACCACACCACACCAACGGGAGGACGTTTGAGCTCTTGACAGATTTAACGTGCATCGCTCCCCTACGCGGCGGATCTTTAGTAGTACTGGGATCGAACTCATGACACGCTAGCCATGATCCGATGCCTAGACCACTTGGCCACACCAAGAGGGTAGGAAAGAACTCCCAAAATACATGAAGTAAAACGTTTTTCTAACACATTTAATTTTGAAACTATGTAATAAAAGAACAATGTACATATGTATAAAATTTTTTTAAAGTATTTTAAAAAAGTACATATTATACAGTAAAAATATGAGAAAAGTTAAGAGTGCAGTAATAAAATAATACTTTTATGTATTAAACACAACTATTAAAAAGAATGCACACGGTAAATAACTAATTTTTTTGACGATAAAATCTGCTATCTTTTTTTTGTTTTACGGTATTTAATCTAACTTTGCAAATAGATTTTTCCTAGAATAAATTAAGATTGAAAAATGTCCGCATCAACATGATTTTGAAGGAAAAAGTTGCATAATTTGTTAAGTGACACTTTAGCTTCTGTCAAAGTTATCGGAGTCAAATCCGATGGTCATCAAAGGGGCTACGTTACAGGGAAGACACGTAGAGACAATACAACATGCAAGCTCCAACCTGTTTGCTACAGGACTCTATATGATAGTAAGTGTCTGAATTGTCGAGAGTTTTATTAAATCACTTCGTATTCTGGCCAGCAACAGATTTTACTTTGAAATATTGAGTATACCAAAACGTATTGTTTTAGATCGAAATATCAAGAGTTTTTCTAGGGGCTGAGCATATACTTCGAATTAGCGAGAGGTTCGTATTATCGAAGGTTTGAATTAGCTAGAGCCGACTGTATATTCAAAGGTGTAAAGTAAGAATCTAAAAAAAAACTTCCCATTAAAAATGATTTACGAACTTAAGCGAACAGACTCTACCGAATATAGCCAATCCATTATTTTTTAACATCGCCCTTATAAAAACAATAAGAAGAGTACTGAAGCCTGACCTCTTAATTTTGAACTTCAAGTGACAAGGATGATACTTGAATTTTATTCTCATAACTTACACGCCACCCAAGAACATTGTTACTCAACTTACAAGGCTATTGAACTAGTACTTCTGTACTAATTGAATAGCCGCATTGGATACAAAAGACTTCAAAATCATCTAATTTAATATCATTTATGTAATGGTGAGTATCTACAATAATTTCATCTGGTAAATAAGCTACAGCAGTGCTTTTCAAATTTTCAACATATGGGACCCAATTTTCGCAATCATAATTTTCATCACACCCCTCTCCACACAATAACAATGTATTAATTGCAATAATAATGTACTTTGATGCTAAAGCTGCAATACGACTTAAATTATAAACGGCACAAATTATTACAACAATTACAGTACAATTAAAAAAAATTGTACATAATGAATTCATAAAAATAGTACAATTTGAATTCCCATTAAAAAAATTGACCCATTTAAATTAAAATCGACATGTTTGAGATATTCCAAAATCTTATTGTAAATTTAAAATAAAGAATAAAAAGCCCTGTTTTTTTCATTTAAACACTGTATTTTTTCATATTTGGTATATTTAGAATTGATAACTGTATGGTAAGACATATTCGAAGGAAGTAGATTTTTCAAAATTAAAAATTATGAAGTCTGAACTGGACTTACGGTATATTATATCATTGTAAATGTATATTTTATTTTTTTATTATGTCAGAATGTATTTTGTTTTGCTCCTTTTCAGTAAATTAATAATTTTTTAATAATCTTTTATTTTCGACTTTTCGGTATGCTCGTGCCCCTCACGTAAAGTTATCACGCCCCTTAGGGAACGCGCCCCACAGTTTGAGACATACAGTGCTACAGAAAAGTTTATATAGGGTCCCCTACACTACTTGGGCAGTTAGTTCTTTGCGAAAATCAAACCTATTATTTAAACCTTTGGGAAACGTAATAAAATATTTTGTCGTTTAAAGCAGAGTTTCAAACTTATATAAAAGAATACAATGAAAATCGTTTAACACGAAACTGAGGGGACTGAAATATTTTTTCATGCTAAAAGAATTTCGTGTTAAAGGATATTTCTAAAAAAAACCCCATATATTCAGTAAAATAAATATTAGGGTACATTTTAGTTACTTAGATGTGTATATATGGATGTGTTTAATAAAATCAATGAAAAAAAAAACATTTACAAGAACTTAAAAAATTTTGTATTAAATTTCATTAAGTCTTTAGAAAAAAACAAACGTTTATTGAGTTCTTGGAAAATAATCTTATTTTTCTGTCACATCTACTGAAATAATATCCGTGTATTTTACCAAAAAACGTTTTAAATGTTTAAAAACAGGGAAACTCAAGTGAACCGGTGAATGATCAATCATAAACCCTTGTTTTTAAGAGATGAAACTTACTCTGGATTGCGAGGAAATCGCACAGAATGAAACCAAAAGATACGTTACAAAATGACATCTACCCGTGAGAAACCTTTCTCGCAATTAAAAAAGGGCCTAACCTAACGTAAAAAAAACCTAAGACTTACCTAATTTCTTCTATCAGAATTAATCGTATGTACATATCTCCAAACATGCATAAAAATGTTAATAAAAATACAGTGAAAATCGCTTAATACGAAATTGAGGAGACCGAAGAATTTTTCGTGTAAGAGGATATTAAAAAAAAATACCAGAAAAATTAAATTTGTTAGAGTTTATTTTATTTACATAGATATGTATACATGCATGCATTTAATAAACATCAATGAAACAAAAACATTCACAAGAACTTAAAGAAATTTAGAACAAAATTTTAAAGTATTTTGAAAAACAAAGCGTTTATTGAGTTTTTGGAAAATAATCTGATTTTTTTCTTTGCATTGTCTTGTTTAGCATCAAACTGTCAACAAATTGTTCGATGTCGTCTATTTTGTTATACATTTCACCATAGGAATATATGTCTAAATTACTGCGCATACTTTTCATAATGTTCCTCCTTTCGGATAACGTGGGAACAG